AAATAATCACTTATTTCAAAAGTGCTTAATTCAAGAAAACTCACTGATAGAAGTGAAGAGGAGGCTTAGGTATAGAGATCGCAACGAATGGATAAAAAATCGGAGAAGAATTGCTCTTGATCTTGACTTTTTAATCTTGATGAAATTGTTGTTGTGTTCTTGATCAAAAAAGTGTAGAACCTTGATTTGATCCTTTAGACATTTGAGAGAAAAGATTAGAGTGTTTTTGAGATTTTTGTCAATTATGAGAGCCTCCCTTACAAAAAAAAATCAGATTTGAGATTATATAGTGTGAGTAAATTGGGTCTTGGATGTGCAATTGGATTGGGCCTTGACTTGAAAGCCTGAGCCCGACACGACCGTAAAGTTCCACGTCATTATTAGTACGGAATTTTCAAAAAGTTCCAACACCAAAAATGAAGAGAATCAAATTTTTGACGCATTGCCGAAATAACGGGCTCAATCGAATAAACAAAGAGAAAGTTACAAATTTTTAAAGTTTCACTGATGTTGTGTCAGGCAAAAATAATTTCCTGTGCAGAATTTTATTGCGTCACATGCGAAGAACATAAAAAACGAGAACCTTCAGGTCACCATTTGCTTTTAGAATCTGAAGATAAGCTGTAGTAGAATAAATTTTTGAATCAATGCCACTAGACTCAGCTCAATACAATAACAATCGAGTGAGATATGAATTTTACCGTATCAAACATTAATACAAATGAATTCTAGTTTAGCACAAACATATCTTCAGAAACTCAAAATCCACGGGTCCTTCCTTCGTGAATCAACTTTTAGCCTCCAAAGACGACATCAGTATAGCATCAAAAATTTATTTTGGCAATCAGAACCGCGCGCATACGATATTCCATCCAAGAGTTATGAATGTTTTAGTGCACACGAAATAACGGTTCAACCCACTTTTCATTTGTATTTTTTACTGTATAACTTCCAAAAAGATGGCGTATTCGGAGACCTTCCTTCGAGATTTAGCTTTTGGTCCGAACATGAAAGTTGAAGAGAACATAGAGATGGTCTAAGAACCTCAAGAATCAATCCAGGACACTGTTCCAAACGTGAGATATGAATTTCCGAACTCAAATCAACTGAAAAAATGTTTCCTATTCGCACTGCCTAAAATTTAGCGAAAACACCCAAATCTTCTGCAACATAACATGCATTGAATAAATACGGGAGCTTTGTTATGTTGACAAAAATACCTTGACCCCATGAGCATGAATCCAATGATATGCATGTATGTGCATGTTAACAAAGTATAATCCAATTAGGAATAGAAAATAAAGACGACAAATTTTGGGGTACAACAAAGCCCAAAGTCATTTGATGAAAAATTGAAAGAAATTTTGCATTTTATTATAAAAATACAGAGAAAAATTAATCTAAGTACCAAAGTATATAATGCAAAAAATATAGAGAATCGCCCAGTTTAGGGTTGGGTTGCCTGCGGCCCAGATAGGGATGGGCCTAGGTAGTAAAATTAGAGCCCATTTTTAATTTGGACTTTTTGAGCCCGAACCTAAAAAGCCTGAGGCCCAATCGGGCCAGTTTGTTTAGTGTCGTATAGTCCATTTTGACAGCTCTAATAGAGAGCATACATCGTTGTTAAAAATGACTAATCTACTTAATCAAAATTGATGAATGATGACATATTTTATATCTAAATATTATATATATATATATATATATATATATATATATATATATATATATATATATATATATATATATATATATATATATATATATATATATATATATATATATATATATATATATATATATATATATATATATTGTTAATTATTTAATTTAAATAATCAAAGACACAAAAACCTAAGGACCAATGCAATACCATTCTACTCAACAACCTAGTGTATAAAAGCTACCACACATAAAATTTAAGGTATACTTTTCTGATTTCTATTATCACTATACTCGTCTTGAGTTCTAAACTGACGTGAGTGTTAGAGTGCTAATCTTACATGTCTACCCCGCGCCACTGCATATGATACTAGAACCACGAGTTTAGGATTCCTCTGCATCAAAACGTACCAATTATAGTTTCAAAATAGAACAGTGGCACTGTCTGTGAGAATTTACTCATAATTCCCGCAAAATCCCATAGATACATCATCTTTGCTATGAAGCTAGACCTCTACCAGAAGCATCAGAGATCGAAGTAGTAACTTCATTCACCCCTCAAAATAATTCTATTAAATCTTTTTATCTCGTCTTACCCCAATTATCATCTATCGACAAGATATGCAACCTATAAACATACAACATAGATACTCCAATTAGAAATTGACGTTAAATCGCAAAGTTAGGATTGACTAACGATTGGATTCCTTGATCGTGATAAGATAAACAAATATCTGAACCCATATCATGGTAGAGATCTGATATCCTTCAAATACTTGATAACTCGCCCTTGCGGATTGACAAATCTAACACTGTCGTTGGGAGAAAGAGTAGGTGAGATAAAGGTAACTGTCAACTTCTTGGAAAAATTAGATGTGGTGGCATCCCTGATTCACCTGAAATAACATATTATGACTAGGAAGGAAAGTTGGTCGTGATTAATGCCAACCTTGAGGAGGAGAATCATATCCAGGAACTCATCCTAATTAAGGACCTCCCTGCTTCATCAACAATGATAAATGAAGGCTTAGGGAAGTTCGATATGTTCAACTTGGATGCGCATGAAGAAGAAGTTAGGCTCATCCAGACAGAGACTCCGAAGTCCTCTAGCTCGACAATAATCTCGCACGGTTGGTGAAGATAGGATCTGAGCTTCCCTTTAAGTTAAAGTCCATACTAATCAAATGCCTCCGGGAGAACACATTCTTTTATCAATCTCCCTACACGAGATGACTATATCGACCCCAAGGTGGCTTGTTACCAACTAAACATCGACCCTGATGCCTGATATGTATCCCAATGAAAAAGAAGGCAGGCCCTTGCGAAAGGTGAAGCCACCACAGACACAATGAAAGGCCTATTGGGCACAAGATTCATTTATGAGGTAAAATACACTGAATAGATTTGCAACTCCGTGCTAGTGAAGAAAGCATTAGGAAAATGGAAGATGTGTGTAGACTACACTGATCTCAATAGAGCATGCCTGAAAGGCTCGTACCTGCATCCAAAAATTGATAAACTTGTAGATAATCAATTGAGTATAAGTTACTATCATTCATGGATGCTTATTCTAGGTATAATCAGATGTCTATGTTTGGACCTAATCGGATAAAGATGAAATTCATGATCGAGAATCCAAATATTAGTATAATGTTAGGCTTTTCAGGTTGAAGAATGCTGACGCGAAATTATCAGAGAATGATGAACATGATTTTTCAAGAAAAAATGATCGTAAAGTCCGATTAAGAGGAACTTCACGCTCAACACCTCTAGTGGGTGTTCGAAAGGGTCCAAAATTATAATGTGAGACTCATTCCAAAGACTTGTACCCTTAGAGTAATAACCGACAAGTTTTTGGGTTTCTATCTAACAAAGAGGGGAATTGAAACAAACCCTAAAAAGTGAGAAACATTGGTCCAAATGAGGGCTATAACTTCGAAGAATGAGGTCTAAAAGATGAACAATATGCTAGCCGCTTCAATCAAGTTCATTTCGAAATCTGCCCAACGCACATTGTCTTTTTATAGTTTCGGCCAAAGACAATAGTGCCCACCTTTCTGAATGTCTCTAATTCAAGAGTATATTGAGTGAAGGATTCTTCCATCCGATCCAGATGAGGCTACTTTAGTAAGGAGAAGATCTAGCTCATATACAGTAGTTCTGGAAGTTTTCTATAAGAGAGGCCAATATACCCCCTTTATTTAGGTGCTTAGGGAAAGAGAAATCTTCTTACACATTTTTAAAGGTACACAAGGGGATATATGAGAAATAACTTTGAGCAATGGCATTAACAAAACATATTTCTACCCGACCATGGTTCAAGACATCAAGGAATATGTGAAATTTTTTTACAAGTGCCAACGATACGAGGATATATTCAACATTCCATCTGCAGAATTGCATATTTTGATATCACTCTAGTCCTTTCTACAATGGTGATTGGACATACTAGGCCCATTTGTGTCAGCTTCATGGAAAATCAAGTACTTGAATGTAATTATAGACTACTTCACCAAATGATTGAAGTAGGAGAATTGGTGAATATCACGGCGACAAATGTCCTGAAGTTTTTCAAAAGAAATGTCTGAATACAACAATCAAATATTCCCTTATAAAAAATTTCACATGTTTTTTTTTGTAGCGAGCGCACACCCTTCGAATCTAGCCATGCAAGGGATATGAATGGTGGGGCCTAGAGACATATAATTTGATCTTAGCTTTACCTTGAGGGTGGGGACATGGATCCTTTACCTTTGTTAGGTGAATGAACCTTTGTGATGTAGAGCGTAGTTATAAGCATGGCCACATCTAGCCGATCTCATGCCCTTTAAATGTGAGTATAATTCAAAGCATGTCCGCGTCTAGCCGGCCTCATGCCTTATTCCTATGAATATGATTCAAATCATAATCACGTGTAGTCAGTTTTATGCCTTATTACTATGAATATGATTCAAAGTATAGCCGTATCAAGTCAGTTTCATGCCTTATTCCTATGAATATGATTCAAAGCTCAGTCGGCTAAAAATTATAATTAAAAGGAGAACAACATGAAACCAAAAGCACAAGCCTGTGAAAGGTAAAGATATGAATAAATATTGTTTACAAGCTGAGGCTCAAAAGCCCAGAAAAAATCTTACATGAACAATACAGCCAGACCACCCCCAATGTCCTATTCAGGAACGACTCAGAAAGGATCAAGTTTAGAACTTTGGCCTGGTCATATTTCTTCTACTAAAGAGATTTCTTATCCACTTAAAACTTACGACACACCTCTGCCACATCTTCAGAAGCCTTATTTCAAAGTTTCTCTACCTTGGAAAGAGAAGCCTTCAACTTCTTTATTTGAGCAACCAAAGTTTACATAGAACTGTATCACTCAACCTCTTACTGCAAAGAGTCGACAAGCTCAAACTTTGTCCGCGACTCAACCAATTCCTTCTCAGTCGTGGAATTCTCCCCTCAAGGGTATCACACTTCTTCTTCAAATCATCCTGATCCCTACCAATATAACCAAAACCTAATACATCATCATCACCGACAAACTACCATCAAAACCATAGATCCGGCCTGAAAAAGGGTGCATGAAGCATTTGAAAAAATACCTCGCCTCTCAGTCGCAGACAGGTTCCAGACAAAAGATAGGTCCTTAGTGGCCACAACAGTAGCGAATTCCTTCAGGGTGTTGGTACCCGAGATGGAAGAATGGCGGGAAGCCGGAAGAGAGGAGTAAGAGCCTTCAACTTAGCACCCTATAACAAACAAGCCTATTTGGAAGAACCTCCTTCAATAATAGTGGACGAATAGTCACCCCGATTCCTCTTGATAGAAGAAGGAGACAGTGAAGTCTCACGAACAAAGAGGCTAGTTGTTGCAATAGTCAGTTGTTTGACATCAGGATTTGTACTTAGGATAATAGTCACAACTATCACCGAGGCAGTAATTATGGTCAATGTCTGATTCACCAGAGCGAGAGTAGCTGCAACAAAAACAGTCTCCACAACACAACTTGATGAGTCGATCATAAGACCTAGATACTTAGAAAGTGAAAGAAACTTCTGCAACTAATCCATGTTATCTGCAAGAAACAAGTTACACTTGTTAAAACAAGCTTCGGGTCCCTATTCTCACCAAAGAGATTTTAACTCTCGGCATGGCCAAGTGAAACAACCGGCTAAAAATCATCAAACAATGATGTCGACATCAAACGTCTTTTATCCCATATGAAGGGAAAGGTAAACATCGAGAAAACTTGAGAAGGGAGAAGTCACGGTCTTGCGACCGAGAGGTAGGGTAAGGGAGTCTATTACGCAAGGGGAAGGTATTAGCACCCCACACGCTCGTAGTACTCTATGGTATCCACTCATGTTGTTTATCTTATGGGTGTGTTTAATCCATGCTTATTGTTTACTACTAAGGAAGAATGCATGGAAAAGGAATGAGGAAAGAATGTAGGTAAAATAAGGTTGTACTTGCTTGGGCCCTACCCCAATACCTACGTATCCTTTTTTAGGATCAAAGTTATTGTAGTTCAGCTCACATGTTTTTGTTTGTTTTGTGTTTTTTATGAGTAATGTTAATTCCGCCTTCTGCCGCAGCTTGACCTTTGGAGACTCACGCGTTGTCACATAAGTAAATTAATAATGTCCTTACTTGAAAATGGTTTCGAGTTACGCACTCGAGGAAAGATGCCACATTTGATTGGCTTGTGTTTTGTTACCTTGAAAAAGGGTTTCAGTATGATTAGTATGTTTTATGATTTGATAAGAAAAGAAAGTTTTAGTTTTAAATGCAAGGATTCAAAAAAGGGAAGAAAAGAGTCTAAGGGGGACTAGCCTATTTCTAAACCTAATGATATCATACAATGGTGGCCCTATGTCAAGGATCAAAGGGAAATCTCTACCTAATGTTAGCATGCAGGGTTTGAAACCTAATGTCTAACTTGCATTCTAAAGGAGCAAGTGCATCCTAAGGGAACATGGTATGTACAAGGATAAAAGAAGCAAGCTCGAAGGAGCTCACACATAAAAGAGTAAGGAAAATAATCGAAATGCTTTATCCAAGGGAAGCGTATCACCTGAGACAAATAAGCGGGAGTGAGATGAAAAAAACAAAAATGTGATGTCCAAAGCGACTGAACACCTAACCAAGATATACGAGATCGAGGTAGGTGACATAAGGCAATATAAACAATCACGAAGTATCAGCATCAGCCAATGAAAACTCCTGACAAAGTGTGGGGGTTCGATTGTAGAACCCTTCCCTACTTTTCGACTCGATAAAAAGAGCAGGCACGACTCCAAAGCATCATGGTGCGTCACGAGCTAAGGATGACACAGACGAAATTATGGGCGTTAGTTACGAAATCTCCCTGCTCGCCTCTTTTTGAGGACTTATCATCTGTACAAGCACAAATGTAAACACACATGCAGAATACCTACTTCAAAGGTAGGGTTTGAAACAAACACATATAGCAGATAGAATGCACAAAATGCAGAATTGCCCTAAACGGGTTTTTAAATAAACCAGAGGGATTCCTGGCATAATCAGCAACGGAGATCCCCGTCATACATCTCTACCATACTTTTCATGGCATCAGAAAGTAATAAAGTTCTTACTTCTCATGATATCTAGGAAGCAATAAACAAATGCGATAAATGATGAATAAAATAAGGTCACGATGATATCTAACGGAGAAGTTCAGTTGCCTCTTCAAAACCACACAAGCGATAGGAAAACTCTACTGAAGCTGCTTCACACAAGTGATCAAAGAATTAATCATCAAGCATTCCACATTGAGAAAGTTACATCGACATTCTATCACAAAATCTTGGTTAAAAATGGCAACAAAAATGATTATCAAACATACAAGTAATAGAAAATTCTAATAAAATTCTAAAGAGAAAACCTAAAAAAATTTCCTAAAATATTCTAACTATTTTTAGGTTATTTTGTCATGCAATAAAAATTAACAAAAGCCAATAATAGAAAATTGGTAAAGAAAATTAAAATGAAAACGTAAAGAGTTCAGGGGGTGTAAAGTCTGAATCAGGATGTATTTTCCAGCAATGACTCTAAGCGCAAGGCCAATGCAATAATGTCCATGAGTTATTTTTGCATCAAGCTCTTAGATAAAACCAAATTCCCATATTACAAAGCAAAGAGGGTGGTTCGGCCCAGTCCAGAAGTGGTCCACCAACATTTTTGTTATATTTCCTTTAGGACAAAAAGAATCGACGGGCTTAAAATAAAGAGATGAGGCCCAGTCCAATACAATCAACATTACCATTTTTTTTTGCATATTTCTTCAATTAACAATTAAAGTTATTAAAAATGGGATCAGGAAGAAAAACATAGTCATTTGGTGTGGTATGCTAGGGTTCAAAATGTGACGATTGAACTTCACAAATTCAACTATTTCTTCTCCCTCCAAACACGCGATGATTAATTCAACCTTCTTTTACGGTGGCTTGTCTCAAACCTCAATGAAACAACAAACCGTCAACATACAAATTTGTCTCCTTTGAATGCTGATCACGAATCATACCATGGATTCTACCAATTTCTCATAATTGGTGAGATCAAAAAAGGGGATTTATGAACCCTAAATCCGCCAAGCTAATGATTCCACTCAAAAGATAACGTAAGGGTCGGAATCTACCTCTAATGGCGATTGTTGTACCCCAAAATTTGCCCTCCCATTTCCTCAACATTTTCTCATCACAGGACCCTTGAAGATCAAGATCCAGTTAGGGTTTCCTCTGCTCAAGACTTCTCCTTGCACTGTTGACCCAAATTAGGGTTTGTGTTTGCACAAAGATATTTTGACCTAAAATGCCTGAGATGACTTTCATGCTTCATGTTGGACTCCCAAGTTTATCCATACCAAGTTTCAAGTCTTGATTTCAAATTTTGCCCAGTCAATTGGACAGTTGACCTAGAAATCAACTGTATTGGGGAAAAAGTCAACTGTGGCCAATTGACAGTCAAATCTCATGAAAATTGACCCACATCAACATTATGAACTCCTATGAACCATTTTATCAAGTTTGGATCACAATTCCTCAAGAAATTTGATCAGATCATCAAAAGGGCAAAATGGTCATTTTTGGGTTTTGACTGCACCAAGGCAATTTTTGACTGTTTGACCTAGCCAATGGCAAACCAAGCTCACATATGGACTCAAGGACCCCATGGAATTATCTTGACATGCTCAACAAGTTCAAAAGATCCCAAATACACAGGATTGATAGTTGAATTTCTCAGTCAATTGATCAATTTTGACTGTATACTGAAAAGTCAAACTGTGACTTTTTGGTCAAAATCAAGAGTCAAGATTCATTTTTCATAAAAACATGCCAAATCTTGAAACTTGTTCACCAAGAAATCAAAAATTGCAAATTAGGGTTTGAAATGGGAATTTTTCATAACTTAGAATTTTTCTAAGTTATGGAAAACCCTAATTTTTTTCCCAACTTTGCCCCACTTTCTCACCAAGATTCATTTGGATTCAAACAAAAGTCAAAACATGAAAGTTGTAGCTTGTTGCATAATCTACAACTTTGATTCACAAAGTTTTCCCAAATGAAGCTTGTATCTCAAGTTACAATTTTTTGAATAGGGGTGCCAAACCATTCTTAACTTAGTGAAAATTTGACCTTTTTGACAAGGTTTTCTACCTAACTTCAAGGCCATTTTCCCTACACTTCCACTTGGAATTTCAATTTTCATTTCAAAGATGGATTGTAGTACACATTCCAAGCTTTCCAAAATGTCCAAAAACTTCTCAAACAACCTCATAACTTGAGAGAATCGAATTTCACAATATGGCAAAAACTCACTTTTGAATTGATCATGAACATGTTCATAACTTAGGCCATTTTCAAGTCAGCATAGTTTGTGCTACATTACAGGTCCTAAAACCCTTTGACACTCATAAATTTAATGCCAAACCTTTGTGCCAAGACCATGTTTTGTGTATTCAAGCATTGCCTAGAAGATTAATCCATTTATAGATAAAGCATTATTTCCATTTTGAAAAAGTAGAACTTTATGTCCATTTTGCAAATCCAAGTGGTACAGTCAAAATCTTCTAGGCACAAGTTATGAGACACATTGCACTGATCAAGGCCAAGGGTTGCAGCATGTTATGGGGGCCTGCATCAGTCTAGAACATCAACTTGCCTTTTGTTGCTTAAGAAAGAAGAAACATAGCATAACTGGCACCAACACTCATATCAGCTAAAAAACACTGAAGCAAACTTGTGAAACACATTCAAGAGATACCAACTGAGCTAGTACACGACCCTAACATCCCTCAAACACTCCCATTCCCAGAATCACCTTCAAACTGCAAGAATAGGGCAGGGCCTGCAGTTTGAGTGCCATCTCTCATTCCTCTCAAGCTTTCTTGCCCAAACCAGTTCACACACCTTCCATACCATCTATGCAAGCTAACCAAAACCTAAAACACAACCTGTAATCCCTCTAACTGGTTCTACCATTTTCACTTTTCCGATTTGCAGGTGAAGTGCTCTAGCTCGATTCAAAAGCTTTCAAGACAAAGTAAAGCTTGGAATAGCATCCCTGGACCTCAAGGAAACTATCCCAATCATCACCTTGCACTGAAAGCTTCTCCATTGCCAGATAGAACTTCAACTGAACAGGTAAGTTTTTATATTCGTATCTCTCTTATTAGGCATTGTTAGCTTTAGGTTTGTGAAGAGAATATGTCACAATCATTGCCCTGAACATGCCCATATAATTATATTTTATTTATATTATGTGTGTTGCAAGAATTTTGAGTCTGAACATGGAGGAAAATCTAGATCAGGATTTGGGGGAGAAGAAATTCTCCCTCATCTTAGAGAGTTAAGACAAGTTCTGCATATGGTTGGATTCGTCTCTTAATGCTGAACATTTTTGATGTTATGAGTTTTCATTAAAAAGCCAGGAATCAAGATGTTTGAATCAGGGAACCAGGCGCGCATTTTTTGACATTGTTTGGCCAGAGGTTGAAGAAAGG